GTGAAAAACTGCAGGTTGCACTTTGCTTTCTAAAAGGGCTGTGGGGAAGTAAAACAGTCTTTGCCTTGTCTCTTTGAAAAGAAAGGGATTGTACGATTAGGTTTGTATTCGCACCTGAGGCATAAAGTGGTTTTTCAGAGATAAATAAAAGCCTAAAAGAACCAGCTACAAAGATACCACTGTCTAATTCAGGAACAGCAGAGAGCAGGAGCAGATCTAAAGAAGTTCGTGATTTCCTTATATCATAAACATTTTGCTAAACTTCAGTAATTCTCCTCCAACTTACTAAAGGGCAGCACTACTCTTTTATAGATGTGTTTTGCAGTGTACACTTTGTTCCCAGTCTTTATCAGCCTGGTAGCAAGAGCACGGCTGTGATTCTGAGCTTCCTGGTTCTCATACATGCTTTGTTGCCTAGATAAGCTTGTTTGACTTTGGAGGTTTTTCTTAACATTTTATTGCACTGTGCTAGATAAGTTATGGCCCTTTTGTTTTAATTGTTTTGTATTATAAAGGATGAGCACTATCTAAAGCACCGTTGTAGTTGGGTGGCTTTAGAGCCCTACCAGGGAAAGTGTGAAAAGACAAGACTTGGCTTGACTGTAGAATGGTTTGTGTTGGAAGGGACCTGAAAGCTCCTCTAGTTCCAACCCCTGCCACAGGCAGGGACCCCTTCCACTGGAGCAGCTTGCTCCAAGCCCCTGTGTCCAACCTGGCCTTGAACACTGCCAGGGATGGCGCAGCCACAGCTTCTCTGGGCACCCTGTGCCAGCGCCACAGCACCCTCACAGGGAAGAGCTTCTGCCTAAGAGCTCAGCTCAGTCTCCCCTCTGGCAGGTTCAAGCCATTCCCCTTGGCCTAGTCCCTAGAGGCCCTTGTAAATATTCTATTTTAAAACAGAATTTTAGAACAGAGTTTTATCTTTTCCTAGAGAAAGGCAAGGGAATAAATATTTGGGTTTGCACTGCAACTAACTTTTAGAAACTAACTGGGATGGATCTGATATAAAGCATGATTACATCAGAGAGAGGCTGCTTGCACTGGGAGGCAGTTTCTGTTCTGTGCATCCTCATAACCTTACTGTGTGAAGCACGCGGGCTCCTGGCAGGTAGGAGTGATTAGATGGAGCAGGCATGTGTTGCTCAGGAGCTGTTTTTAGCATCCAAAGTACAATTTCCAGGAAGATGTAGGGTAAGTAGGTGGCAAACAGGACTCAGCCTAGTAAACAATGCTTAGTGCGAAGTGATGCTGCAGCACTGAATACAGCATGCTGATCCCTAAAGGAATTTTGTACTATAGAGCAAAGTGAGGGCATTAGAGATGCGCAAACACCGGTTAGAGTGGCGAGTGACAACGCAATCTCTGGTCACAAAGAGCAGGCTGCTAGTTTAGTGTTACCAGCTGCACGCACTCTGAGCACGTATCCTGTGTTTCACTATTACTTTTATCACTTGGTTAGGAAAAAAAAAACCCAGCCAAAACTGAGAACCCTTTATTCTTTATTAGTGTGGTTGCTACTGATAGGCCAGTCCCTAATTAATGTGATGGTACTTTCCCATTCCTCTGCCGCTCTCCTTATTAGAAGTCCTCGGCAATATGAGAGACTAAGTATCTATTACTTAGTCATGAGGTATCTAGACCAGCTTGCTTTTGAAACTAAAGACTGTGTACCCCAGGCATACTGTATTTCTGATTTGCATATGGAAAAGGCAGTTAAAAAGCTGATGCCCCCATATTGCTTGCGAGTCAAGTAGCAAAAGTAAATGATTTATCAAGCAAAGGTTACCACACCTGTGCCTTTTTGTCAACATAGACAGAGGATGCCAAGTCAAGTGCTTCTTCTAATAGCTCAAACAGGAATTTAGATTCAAATACCCCCCCCCCAGGCAGGACAATGATGTGGTGAGCCGCTGGAGTGGCAGAGTGATGGATGGGGTGAGCAGAGGCAGTGTATGAAAAACCAAACCAGCTAAACCAACACAAAGCCACCAGCCCTTTTGGGGCTTTTGCTACTGAATCAGAACTACTGACTTCAATCAGTTTATTTCCTGGTCTCTTCTGTCATGGAGCTGTCGTCCTGATTTGTTGACACAAGAAGGCAGCCTTTTCCTAAATAAAATGCTATAGAAATTCTATATAATTCCTTTAAGGGATTATACGTGAAGCAATGTGACCTAAATCAGAACATGCTGCTAATGGAAATGTCTACTGCTAATTTTTATAATGCCCATTAAGAAAGGCATGCACTGGTTTTTGGTTGTTTAAAAACAGCCCAGGACAGAACGATCCTTGCTCAAACCCTGCCATGTACATTTGCCTGTGATTTTATTCCAATGTTCGGTGAATGCCCATTTATGGGAAATGTGACTTCTGCTGAATGGCACTGTCACATCCCTGTGCACAGACTCAGCTCTGCAGCATTTTAAGACTAATGATGATGATGTGTAACTGGTGCCTGCAGTCAAATGAGCTGCCAATTGGTAGAGAAAATCAGAGCCACCAAGAAGCTGACCATCATGATTTCTTATAGCTTGTACCTGGGCTGCAGTAATAAAAAAGCAGAGGTTCAGATACAGTCTTCATTTTTATTTTGCTGTTTCAGCAGTAAAGAGTTGCTTAACCCTTATATTTAAGCTTGACTTTCAGAAGCTGGGAGTGTTCACTGCTTCCTCCTGTCTAAGGGAGCTGTGTGGCCTGGCAGTTAGTGGTCCTCAGGACCCATTTCTTAGCCTGATTTTGAATGTACTATAAAACTCCTGATGGAAAGCAGCCATCCCAGCTGCTTTTAATAACACAGCCCTATGAGCTTTTATATTTTGATTTTGAAAATATCCTAAATGATCGTCCTACACACTAATGCCCTGCAAAAAGAGTACAAAAGCATGTTTTTGTGTAGAGGAACGCTAAGTAAATCCCAAATCACTGCAGTTAAGTGTTTTTACCTCACTTCTCTGATTTAAAACACAGTAGACTTCAGAGTTGTTTCATGAATAAGTAGTGAGTTTCACTGATAAATTATATATTTAGTATCAAGTGGGTTGTGGTGGTGTAATGATGTATAGAAGCACGGAGATGCAGCTGGAGTCAGAGACTGGAAGTCAGTCTCCTTACCCACTGCAGCATGCTTGACTTTAATTGAAAGCTGTGCTTGAGTATTGTTTTTCACTGTACAGCATTGTTATTCACTATGCTGCATTACACAGAAGCACTTAAGGTAAGGCTAGAGCACTTTAAAATGATTTAAGTCATAAATAAAGAGGATAAAAGTTTACAGTCAACAAACTTATCTGGGAAACCTAGGCTGCAGGATGCAAGCAAGTTTACAATATTTTGGAGACTTAATACTGTTGTGTCTTGCTACATAATCAATTTACCAACTAGGAGGTTTTCAAGCCTTCTGGAAAAGGTAAGTAGCATTCTCCAAAGGGTTTCAAGTTTCCTGAGCTATGAAGGAAAAGACCAAATGCTTAAGGACTTTAACAGTATACCTTAACATTCCTGCTTCCCGATTTCAGTGTATTGCTGTGTATTCCTGTTGTTCCCAAAACGACTGGAGAAACACAATTAAAATGGGAAGGCGCACGAAAACTTGTCACGGACATGAAACAAATAAAGGAAGAGGCCTGAAAAGTGGGGTGCAGGCTGCATTTTGTTAAGGGATGAAACAAAAATCAGAACCAGAGGGGTTAAAACCCTGCTCTGTCCTGCTGGTGTACTTTCTCCGACCCTATTTAATGCAGCGAGGGTTTGAGATTCGAGGTAGTTTAACCTGTGCTGTCGACAGAGCTATAAACTAAAGCCCCTAACAAATTGTACACAAAGAACAGATAGCAAGAAAACACATTGTGTTCACAGGCATCTGGTTGCAGCCCTGTGAACTGAAAATCTTTGCGAATGAGTGACTTGTGTTTCATTGACAGCATAGGTGCTTAAGCCATCACAACGAGGAGTCTGTCTTCATGCATACCCTGGACTGTGACATGTGAGAGCTGTTACTCTGTACACTGATTATTCAGATGCAGGTAAGAACTTACAAGAGCTAAGAGCAATACTCCCCAGTTTCCTAATTATTTGAATTACCACTTTTTAGTCATCTCAACCAGCTCAAAACAAAATCACAAATATTTCTTGCTGTTGACCTTCAACAGAACTGTCACAGAGTCGAGCAATCACTTCAAACTACAGTTGTCCTGGAGCACTAGTCCTGCTCACTTCTTTATACCTTCTCCCCCATGATAACGTGATATTAAGCACAGACTTAATTTTTTCCACATCTGGCTCAAATTATCTGCTAACAAAACTGCCAACAACTATTTTCTTAATCGACCCTGGGAATTTGATACAGCTTGGAAAAAAGGCACATTTAAACCTCGTCCTTCTCCTAAAGAAACACAAATGTTTACTTGAGCTTCTGATTTGACCATAGCAGGACTATGAATTCAGTTAACCCAGCTTTATAGGCCTGCCTCGACTGGACTTTTTTTTCCTCTTTGTGTAAGGAAACAGATGTGCTCTCAATTATAAAATCTCCTGCTCGCTCAAAGCCCACCATGCAAATGGCCAACCAGGAATTTGAGTCTGATTTTTTTTCACATGGAAGTCATTGGAGCAGTCTCCCATTGTATCTGCTGGGGGACTAAGGTGTGCTGTTACCTGATGGCTCTCTCTGAGCTCCTGTTGCATATGCAATGAAATGCACTGGCTAGAGGTTGGAGCAAAAGTCTTTGCAAAACCCAGTCCTTGGGGGGAAAAAAACTAGAAGCCAATACCTTAGCAAGCAAAAGCGCTCGTTCCAGTTACGAAAGCAGCATTATTACTACATAAGCCCAAAAAAACACAACAGACAAAACAAACTGCAAGTGACATTTCGCTGTAGTTACTGAGACCATGTGGGTGAAGTGACAGCGGCAATGCAGCTTGGCTCCGCGGGGACACGTTAGAGTACACACTGAAGAAGAAGAAGAGGCTGCAGGCATACAGAGAAGTCGAAAGCGGCCCACCTGAGTCTGTTGAGGGATATTTACAAAGCTTGGATCCCGTGGTCCAACACTGACGAATCGGTTTGCGGGGGAGGTGCTGGGTGTCGAGTAGGCTGTGAAGGGAAGGGACACATGCGTTGAGGAAGCGGCACTAGATTGCACACGAACAACACCAAAACACACTGTCTCAGAGCCACCTAAGCAGATGTTTAACATAGAAATGTGCGAACGTTTTAGAGAGCGAGAGTTTGGGTTTAGACACTGGAAAGGTTTGGTCTTAATGATGGGGGTATAAACGGAGGGGACTGGGCTGCTCCTTGCCAGGCAGGACAGCAATGGCTGTGCTCAGGGAGAGGGGTGATGGGGTCCCCTGTGCTGTTCTCCATCCTGGAGGAAAACCACTGCAGGCCTTTCCATGACGGGATAGCCCAAGAGACTTCTGTGGGTCCTGATATTGCCTGACTGTTTGAATATCTGGTACCTGTGGTTTTAATGGATATTTGCACAGCAGTGAACTTATTATGAATGGAATCAGACCCTTATTTCATGCTAAACCAGCGTTTTCTCTCTTCATATAAAGTTTTGGTTTTCATACTGCTGTGGTCTGCACTCTCTAAAATGTTCACTTGATGTGTTTGACAAACTAGGAAGATCCTTTCGGTAAAAAATTAATGGGTTGCAGTTTCAGTGGGGTGGTAAGTGCAATCAGTCTGAAGGCTGAAGCTGCCTTTAAAAACTGGAGTGGCTCCCATAAATGTAAAGCTATTAAATGCAATGCTAGCCAAGAACCCAGATTACTTCCAAACTTGAAGTACTTTAATGATTTTATTGTTGCATTATATTCTCCACTGCAACTGTCCACAATGCCACGTCCTTCCACATCCAAAAGCTTTCAATGCATTTTTAGGCTTCCTCTCATTTGAAAATCCCCCATGCAATCTTCTCCCTTGTTCAGTTTTTTGCGTGTTCAGATCTAAATTCAAATAGCCTGAATAGACGCCTTAATACGAACAGTGATTCTGTCTATTTTAAATATATTTATGGGAATGCATTCTGCTGAATAAAATCCCCAGACAATCTAACTATCCAATGAAGAGACAAAAAACAATGTTAAAAGGAAAGTTACTTGCCAAATTCCAGTCAGGCTAAATATAATGTTCAGGCCCCAACGTTACAGAAAAATAGAGTGAGTTAAGAGTTGGAGAAGACACTGGGTTGTCTGTGTAGATGAAACCCTGTTGCCTTTCTGAAGGCAAAAATGTTTGGTGAAGAGTCATTACATTGGTGAAGCCTTTGGTTTAACATTGTACTAATCAGACCAATGCTCCACCTTATCCACTGTCCTCTCTCTTACAGAGGCCATACGCAGATGAACAAGGGACAATCAACGCAGGTCACATATTTACTTTCTCATATTCTTTTCCACCCTCTGATTATTTTCAGCTGAGGGACTCCCTATATTTAATGGTCTGCAAGGGATTTTGTACTGATGAATGCCCAATCTACACTTGAACCCAGGCAAACATTCTGCATAAAGCCCTTTGGCAAGGAGTTTCCAAGTCTATGAGCATGCAGAAACCCATCCTTCCTTTCCTTCTCTACCCAAGCCTCACAGATGTCTCATGGTGCCTCCTAATTAATATCAGACAGCTTCACCCCAGGAACTGCATATCTTCGTTTCAGTTTTGCTGACTTCTCAGAATGAATTCTTCCCAGTTGCTTCTGGTGAGGTGAGCTGAGCTCTCCTAAAAGCTAAGGCTTTGCTAGTACTTGCAAAAATCACGCAAGGAACACCTTCCCTTCACAAAGGTTTGAAGGAAGTTTTAAATGCACAAATTCATCCTTCCAAAATGATATTGCAAACTGCATTACAGCTTGCATATTAGAGTATGAACAGGTACACCGGTGTTGTTACTCATATCTGCAAATCAAGGAAGAAATGAACTGAACAGATTTGGTGAGATGTTCTCTTTGCCTTTTTACCATGTTAACTTGCTTAATAAGTCAAAGAAGACACACATTTGCAAAGGGTATATATATCTGTTTCTAGTGCCATGTATGAAGATTCTTCTGTACTGTCTTATAGTGAGGTTTTCTTTTCAACCAAGTAATGAACTCGATGCTGTGCAAGAGTAAAAATTCCTTTTGCAGCAGGAAAATTAACTTCAAGCTCAAAAATCAAACATCTGTTCTTCTGGTCTACTTTTAAAGAAGCAGAATGAGTGCAGAGGTCCTTTAATCCCTTGGAGCAGGTAAGTTCCACTCAGAAGGGAAGGAACTCAAGATCTTGTTTGCAGTTCCCTCTTGGCAGATTCTTTTGCTGTGATATTTGGTAGGAAATCAAAGGGAAACCATCAGAACGTTGTCTTAAATGGCTTCTCTGTTCGAACAAAAATCCTAAAGCATTTAAAAACTGTCTAATATGCACAAAAGTCCCCTCAAACCTTGCTGGGTGAATTATTATGTATACCTTCAGTAATGTTCCAAACTATGTTTAACTTCCTTTCTGAAAATACTCGGATGTCAGCTTGGTATTTCCTCAAGGTCATATAACTACATTGCTAGAGCCAAGAAGTGAAGAGTACCAAAACTACATATATGCAGAGCAGGCTTTACAGTGGATTCTCCCAAGATGCTAGTCCCACTTGACTGTAAAATGTCATGAGAGATTTGTGGATTGTAAGGGGCCATTTTGGCTCAGAAAATTAATATTAATAATATGAAATACATCTTAGCAGTGACTCCTGTTATAGTGAAATTTGGTTCAGAAAAGGGAGCAGTACTGAGTACTGGTTACACCATCACCAACACAGCTTCTAGCTGTGTCTTACTGTCTTCATCTAGATACCCTTGCTTGACATGGAGGTGGGATTCCTGGAAGTCTCAGTGCTTCTGATCCTCTGTTCTTAGATTAGGATGAGGCAAACTGCTCTCACTAGTTAAACTGGGTCATATTACGTTATAGTATACATGAACTGAGCTTATGGTGGGATCTTCAAACTCCTTTTTAGCAAAGGGAAAAGCCAAACCATGGAAAGGAACAGAAGCCAGGTCTCTTAGGCAGATCTCTCATCATCTTTATCAGCTTTGCTCCATGGGAACTGCCTAGATCTGCACTAGTTTACAGTATACAATAGCTGGCCCATTGGGCTTGAATAGAAACATCTTTCTGCCCAGCCTGGTCTTTCTGCTACTGGAATTCACTAAGGGTTGTTTGCAACATCATAGCCCATAGCCAAGGAAATGAATGTGATGCCACAAATTTGCTATGATGCTTCACTTCAGGAACAAGCAAAGCAGGAGCTGGCAGAGAAAGAACATTTGCTCACACAGACAGCTTTGATATTTAGCCAAAATGGCAAGAAATTGTATGAAAGACAAGACAAACAAACAGTTTTGGGAATGTCATGTATTTTAAAGTTGTTTGCAGTAGGAGAATGTTAATTTAAAATATACTTTCCTGAAATAATTTAAGTATAGGAGTGTTTAATTTCTCAGACAGTTCTGTATTAAAAGGATAGACTTTTGGTTGGTAAAGATGATTTGGAGAGTTAACCTAATGCACCACTCTTTTATAGACCAAGACGACAGGGACCTGTGCTTGATATGAAGAGCTCTACACATTCACAGAGGACTAGGAGTCAGTTTAGCCATTGAGGAGTTGTAGCAAGAGAATTAACTGGAGAAACATGGTGCAATAGAGCAATTCCTACTGCAATGCATCCTGCAGCCGAGCATCTGAGAGGGAACTGCAAATTCTAACAAATTAAATGATACAGTCATCACCCTCTTTTTTATGGATGAGGAAAGAAGCGAACAGAAAGCTAAAATAGCTTGCCCAGAGGGTGCTCAGTCAATGCATAGCAGAGAAAGGGAGAGAAATCCAATCTGATTATAGAATCGTGGAATTACAGAGTTGTTTAGGTTGGAAAAGACCTTTAAGATCATCAAATCCAACCGTTAACCCAGCACTGCCAAGTCCACCACTAACCATGACCCCAAGCACCACAGCTACACGTTGTAAATACCTCCAGGGATGGTGACTCCACCACTGCCCTGGGCATCCTGTTCCAGTGCTTGACAACCCTTTTGAGGAACAAATTGCTCCTAATCTCCAGTCTAAACCTCCCCTGGTGCAACCTGAGGCCGTTTCCTCCTACCCAGTCACTTGTAGAGAGCAATAAAATCCCCCCTGAGCCTTCTCCACACCGAACCCCCCAAGTCCCTCAGCCCTTCCCCATCACAGTTGTGCTCCAGGCCCTGCACCAGCTCCGTTGCCCTTCTCTGGCCCCACTCCAGCACCTCAATGTCTCTCTTGTAGTGAGGGCTCCAGAACTGAACACAGGATTCGAGGTGCAGCCTCACCAGCGCGCAGCACAGGGGGACAATCCCTGCCCTGGTCCTGCTGCTGCACTGGTGCTGGTACAGGCCAGGATGCTGGTGGCCTTTTTGGCTGCCTGGGCACAAGCTGCTCATGTTCAGGCACTGCTGACCAACAGCTTCCCAGCCACTCTTCCCCAAGCCTGCATGAGCATTGCACTGTGGTGACCCAAATGCAGCACCCAGCACTGAGCCTTATGAATCCAGTATTACAGCCACAAGATCATTCCTCTTATGTTGAGACAAATGCTGTTTAACACAAAAGCTCCTTTGTGCAAAGGGACATTAGCTGATAATGATCCTGCCCAAGAAGAGAAAATTTAACTAAGTTTCTTCCCATGCAGAGTTATGAACCTTAGGAAACAACATTTAGTTTTAAAAAGCTCTTTTCATGGTGTACAGGGAGGGCAGTATCTTAGACACTGGACCAGAATGAGGGCCACAGATTCTAACATAGCTCAGATTCAGTTATGATAGTGATAAAGTCCAACTGGCATGTAGCAGAGGTGGTGTTTTCTTTGGGCAATGAGATATTACACCCAGAAACTGTCAAGTTCAAGAAAATATTGTGCTGTGTTTGTTATGTGTTACAAACCAAACAAAATCAAGAAGAGATCAGAGATAAGATAATCTTGGGACTCCTTCTGATATCAAGGATGTGTTCTATTGAAACGGCTTTTTATAGAGGCAGAACGAACCCTCCCAAACCTCATGAATCCCATCTCCATTGTGTCATCTCACTGAGGAAAATGCTGGCTTTCCAAAGGGATGGGATTCGCATGTGAAATTTTCAACACCCAGAGCATGCCTGGCCACCCAGTAGTGGCAAATCCCCGGTGTGCATCTCCAGGGGCTCTTCCTTCCTTGGACAGCACTAATGTTCATGTTTTGGTTAATGTCACAGCTGGAGAGTTTCACTATTGCTCTGAGAATCATTAACCACCTTGTTGTGATTTCTAGCTCTCATTCCCAGGAGGCTGTGCTGTATTGAACAGCTGCTCCTGGCTCCGGCACCCCTCAGGAGGGCCATATTCCAATTTTTGGTACGGCCGTAACTGTGTTTTGTTTCTGTGGAGGGCTTTTTGCTTAGACCAAAAAAGGGAAGGATAATGGAGCAAATGCCAACCCCTTTCACTCCATTTCCTTGGGGGGGGGCTTCATTCGCCTCCACACAGCTAAGGAGAGAGTCTGGCCAAAATCTAACATCACTCCTGCCTTTGTTGCATAAGTGACTTTCCAATATCCTAAAGCTCTGCAGGGCAGCCAGCCATAACCCAGCGACACTCCCAGAACCGGTGCGCTCAAGCAGTTTGTAACCATGGAAAACACCTTTTTTGTGTGGCTTTTATGAAACTCTGGTGAATCTGCACTTGCTATTTGATGGCTAATATTTAGTTAAGGAAAAAATAAACACGGGCAAAAATGGAGGCTTGGTCCTGATTGACACACTAAATGGAGTCCAGTGGGCCCTTCTCTCTCATTGCGAGGCTCGGAACTTGAGTTTGTTTGACTCTATGTGGCCAGCCACATGAAGCTCTGGTGTACATGTAATATTTTTTTCTTAGCAAATGTTTCCTATAATCTACTTTGCTGTAAAATCTGTCCCTAAATTAAATTATATGCTTCTTTACCACTCAAGTCACTATTATTCAAAACCCTCACCAAAAAGAAGATGCGCGCCTTGAATATGTACAGAACTATATGTTTAGACATCAGCGTAGCTAATTAACAAACAGTAATTATTTCCCTAATCTTTTGTTTAAATACCATTAACTGGCTGCTCTTGAGAAAAACCTCGATTCCCAATTAATGTGGCAGCTGTCTGCTGAGCACTGAGCCACAGTGACCAGCCCAAGCCAATGGGTGGTGGTCTGCAAAGTGGTTTGATGCCAGCTCAGAATCAGGCCAGGCACACATTTTAGGCTGTTTACAGGATTGCAGTACCATAAAAATCATTAAGGTTACTGCTAAAATGATGTTGGGAATTTTTCGTTTCGACACCAGCCACTGCCAGTAAACTGAGTCACAACTGTAATGACAAATATACATTGACCTAGTTTCATTTTTCCTGGTTCTGAAGACAAGGAAATAATAAGGCATTGCTGACTGCACTCAGTGATAACTATGACTAAACATTAACCTTTTAGATTCCACTGCTGAATTATTATTGATAGGACTTAAAACGGTTTCTTCCATCAGAAAGCATCAAGACTTTGTGATAGCACAAGTGTTGGCCTGAGGTCAGAAAGAGGAGCAGAGGGGAGGGAATGAATCAACAGCTCAACAAAAATCTGCTGATCAATTCTAGAAGTCCTGATTCTAGAAGATCATGTTCACAATCTTACCAGACTGCCTCATACTAAAACCCATTTTCATTTCAAAGCGAGCCAGAGCATCTTGCTGAGTCTGCAGTTGTGCACCATCACAGAGCAGAAGGCAATGCAGAACTCTGAGAACCACCAGATTTTAAAGATGCCCCCTGGAACCTGTGCAAATCTCCTGAACAGTACATGAAGCTTTAGAAATGTAGGCTTCACATGATCTGAATAGCGAACACCTTTTTGCACATCAAAGCAGTGGTTCCATATAGCATTTAAATAATAAGCTTGAAAAGCACACAAAGGGATTTGCTTTTTCGATTAGATTGATTTTTGTTTGTGGATGTTATTTGGACTCCCTTCACTGTGGAACAAGTCCCCTACAGTTGCCATTAAAGCACTGAAAGCTTCCCTTTTGTTTTTAAATGTCAGTTTGAGCATAGCTTCATTAAATCATTTCACAATTAACTCCCTGAACATCCAGACTTTTTGAAAGCATCAAACCCAGCTGAATCGCATTTGTTTCCCAGAAGAGTGAGTCCAAAGTGGTATCCCCAAGTGTGTATCCAGGAATTTGTATATTTGACTTGTGGCTACACAAAATACATATGGGAGCCGTGTGGGTGGTGGAGAAAGGATTAAAGCTTTCTCCCTGGGCCTAAAAAATACCATAGCTTCTTGCCCAAAATGTTGGGCTCGGGAACCAAATCATAAGGGAAAGGCGTCTGGGTTAATCTAGGAAGACTTATTCCCCAAAGAACTATAAATGAAGTAAACTCAGAAGAGTTGCTAGTTTAGCCCAGTATGTATAAGCAGCAGTGCTTTTGAGAAGCTGTCTGACTTCCATGTAGTAGCTATCCTCTAAAGACTGACTTGAGATACCAACTTGCCTCCTCATGACAGTAAAACTTATCCCAAAGGTCCAAGGTCTGTGTCACAGCTCAGCTACTGGCCTTGATTCCTGTCATCCATGGTTATGTGAAATGGCAACAAAGTCAGAACTAAAACTGTAACCTTAAGCTAACTCTTTTCTCATTAACATAGAAGGAGCTCAGAGTTTTGTCTGTCTTATACAGAGCAAAGAGCTCTCCTATTTCCCAACAACTAGTCAGTCCTCATCTCTTAACAGTCGATAGAATGTGATGGCAGCATGTCAAGTGCTGCTGTTAGCCCTTGGTTCCCGCTGCGTCTATACTTACTTGGAGAAGTGGGAGAGGTGGCCCCTCCTTCTGTTGATGTAGTTGGAGGTTTTGTGTCTGGCACTGGCAGAGGCACAGGCCTAGCCATTGGTGGCGGAGGTGGTGGTGGCAACATTGGGGTAGGAAGGAATGGATTGTGCACCTTGCCTTGGCTGCTACCATTGGGCTGCCAAAAAACAAGCAAACAGACAAAAATTATACTAAAAACCAGCTATTAGGAACCTCCAGTAATAACAATTTAGTTGAAAGCTATGTGCAATACATTTACAGTTACTTGAGAGGTGGCAAAGGAAGCGCTGGGTCAAATTCTCCAGCTTCTTCAAGGAATTTAGTCTCAAGCCCTGTGAACCTTGTGAAACTATGGAAATTCTCACTTTTAAACATTTGTCCTGTTAGCAGCTAGTGTGAACTGCCCTGGATTAAATCCTGCTACTCTTTACACTTCCTGCAGCCACTAAGTCATGCTCAGTGATGGTTGCAGTGGTATTTTTGACCCCTTAAATACTCCAGTTTTGTGTCTCTGTTACACCCTTAGGATATCAGTCCCAAGGACTCGAGTGCAAATTTCTTAAAGATACTTCTCATTAAGAGAAAAACCAAGCATTTTTGGTGTTCTTAAAAGTCATGCTGATATCTTATTACAGGAAAATGAATGAATATATATTAAAGTAACTGCTCTCCCACATCCCTTTTGAGTTAGTGCAGCTCACAGTTTAGTTGCCATTAGCATCATATGGAGAAACGACTGAACTTAGAACTATTTCATTTTACTCACTGGGAAAAAACCCGACCCTCCCTTTACCCTGGGATGTGGTCAGTCACAGGCAGAATGGGCTCAGCTAAGTGTGCTCTTTTAATTAATCACCAGAAAAACCTGTCCACAAGTAAAAGTGTTTTCAAGTATCACAAAAACAAGAAGCAGGCTCAAAAAAATGCCTCCCCTTCCCCCAACTTGTTAAGTTTACATTTTAAATGTAACGCAGCCTGGACACTTGAAAACCATACAGAGAGATGCCAAATACCATTACAGAGAGAAAGTAGGACAGCCTGTGAATGAGGTGTTCCATTTTAGTGACAAAAATGATGAGATCACTTTCGACAGCACTCTACAAATTGATCTCACTGCAGTTCTTCTGGCACTGAACATTGGCTTTTCCATTGATGATAAAAGCTCAGCTTTAAACACAGATCCATATTCTAAGTACTGCTAAAGAAAATAATATTTTAATTCCTGTTAGGGTTTCCATTAGCCTGAATTACTGGGGACAGAATACTCGTACCGGCAAACGCTTGGGACCTGATTTTCATTTCACCTGCTTTGGCACTGACGAAAGGCCTTAAAGGTGCAAATCACACTTGTGCTAGAGCAAAACTAGTTCTGGGCATAAATAAGACCCAAATTCATCTGCATTTAACTTAATAGCACTCCTACTGACTTCAAAGACTGCAGTTACTAGTGTTTGCAGCAAGAAGCAATCCTTCAGGGATATTTATTTTTCCAACATCCAGTACCTTTAATAAACTAATATATTAGTGACATCTCTCAAACACTATCTTGTCTCACAATTAGGTCCCTTTCCTGCCAAGAAGACCCCTGCTGTATGTTCATTGTGAGTGTGCTAACAGTTCATAATGCTGAATGGTTTGGGATATATTAAGCAAATGAATACTCAAGGAAAAAGAAAAGCACTATATTGATTTGTTGTCTAGACATAAATGTATCTGCTAACATATTGCAGACATTATTCAAGGCCAGTACTGGCTGGAATACGTCGAGTCAGTTTTTCTGCTAGGGAAAGGAAAGCACTGAGAACAATATAGCTTATTAAATAAGTGTAATAAATTAGCTGCTAATAATTAAACTAATTCTCATTAACACTTTCAATCGTATGTATGTCAGGAGAGAAACAGTCATTTTGCCAGTTATTACTTCATTGGCTGGAAAAAGTTACATGCATTACATTTCATGAAATATTCAGAGCATTATTCTAGATTTGATTTACATAAAATTTATCCATTCTGTATTTGACCGGAATGCTATTGCAATAATAGCAAGATGATTCACTTTATTTGATTAAAAAAAAATATGAAAATGGTTATTTGAAGCTTTGGAACTCTGCTTAATTTTTCATAGAGATAAGGGGGAAAGATAACTTCTTACAGAAATAACAAACCGTAATAAACTGTACTTTTAACATCTCGAGTTCAAGTACTGGTCAACTTGATCTAAAGTGCTATAAGGCAGTATTTTTTTTTTAATGAACTTAGCTGATCTGAAACATCTGTTTCTCACCCTCCCTTTTCCTGCTCCTTCCCCCCCCCTCTCCCCTGCACTTCCAAAATAATGAATAAAAATTATTCTGCCTTCATATTTTGTTAACCCTGGTTCCACCAAGGTTACAGCGCATGCAGCAAAGTCATTTGCGGAGGGACCCGAAGGGTCACTGCATCACCAACTTCTCCGACAGTTTAACTTCATCTCACCACAATGCGGTCGAGTGGGTGTTTTGGGGAGGTTTTTGGTTGTTTTTATAAAATATTTCTGCAGTAGCAGCGCTTTATTCCCATTTCCAACCACTATTCAAGGTGTGCTCCTGGACACAACATGCTGTTAAAAATAACCCCATCAGCCCATGGTTAATTTTACATAGGACAAACACTTCTGAAGAAATAAAAACGGCTTCCTTACATTTAGGAACCCCACCTGTCCAGCCTGCTGACCAGCGTCGGGGCAGACAAGTTGGACAAACTCTTTCAGAGTCTCCTGAGGATGATAGCGGATTGCTGGGTGTGAGAAGTATGGCCCAGGCTGTTGAATAATGGGTGATGTTGGAAAATGAAGAGTCGATGGTGTTGCATGTGGACTTGCTATAAGAAAGAAAACAAAGAAGTTATATAGAGTTTTGCCTTTGGAAAAATAAAACAGTTTAAAGCTACTGTTGTTTTAGTCTATTTTTTTAAATGTACAGTATTGTTGATACATCTGATCTTCACAATTAATATATTAGACCACATTGTGTCCTACACTCACTTCATCTAGATCCTGAAAGCAAATGGAGCCAGACATTTTGAAGGATTTTCTGTGTTTTTAGTGGACATGTATAAAGGAATGAGCAGTCCTTCGTGGCAGTGAAAACACTTCATCACCTTAACAGCAGTCTTCATCAATCAGGCAATGAGAATATGTATTTGGGAGATTATGGTCGATTTAAGTGACATTCCATGTAACTTGGATTTGCACATATGAATCCATTTTACATTGTACTATAAATGGTTGATAATTTAAAATTTGGTCTAACACTTCCTGTTGTTGAGGTTTCTTTTTTTCCACCTCAGTTTAGGAACATTTATTTTAAGTAACGCGTTTTCATCTAATGAACATGCACAAAGTGGCAAGATCAGTCTGAAAATTCCATTTACATTTCTCCTGCAAAACGTTGGGTTCCAATCTTCAGCAAGCCCCCAGCTTGCATTCAGGGATGAAGTTTAATTTGGTGGATTTATGGGCCAACAAGCCAGCTGGAAAATGTACTACAGTGAAGGTGTAAAGGTGTAATGTACACAAGCCCATTGTCAATGACAGGTTTTACCCTCAGCTGATTTCAACAGAACTGTAAGCGCAGTTTATAGTTCTTACACTCTCCTATGTTATGTAGCACCTTTGCCCAGTTCCTTGGCCTTCAGGGTATATTGGGTTGGATCCTTGTTAGCCAACTGTTTTCTAATGTTAGTTGTCACCATGAGGTAGCAAGTGCTGCCATTCATAGTGCTATGAATTCTTCCTTTCCCCTCTAAAATGAGAATTCACTCTTCCTTTAGAATAGCCAATTGATCTTGTTGTGCACAAGCTCATCTGTAAATCAGTTTATTCCTCACCAGTCATCACTGCATCCCTGTTGCTCCTTGGCATGCTGTTCTAGTGATCTTTCAAGGGTGTGTCCATGTGCATATACTGCACTTGTACACCGCACATAACCACTTAGATGAAGTCTGTGCAAGGGAGGAAATATCCTACAGAAACTCGTGTTTTGGCTTTGAAGTTAAATATACCAGAGGAAAAAAAAAGCCTTTGGCACTTTTCAGAAAAGTTGGAAAGATGCAGAGAATAAACTAAAATTAAATACAAATGAGCAAATACTCATTTAATGACAAATGTTATGAAAACCCCCAAGTTAAATAAAAGCTAAAATCTGCTTCTTAGTCTTCTTCATCACCAGTTTTATAATAGGAGACTTTATCAATCTTTTTTTCTCAAGCATTATTAAACCATTATAAAATTTGGAGCCTGAAGTTGTGAATAAAACATGTACTCAGTGACAGCAGCAAGGAAACCTATTGCATTATCCTGTAAACGTTCACTAAGGGTTGGCTGGGCAGCACTTCTATGTACTTCTTTCTCCACGACTGGATAGGAATGATTGCTGTGATAGCACCACCAAAAAGAACCACACTCATGCCTGGCGTGCTGATATGGAATGAATATGAAGCTCTCATCCTTGCCTTAAAGAGCTCGCCTGCATCCTTGTTAACCCTACAAGTCTTCCCAGTCTGCTGCCCTTAATGCCTCTTGAAATATTCACAACAGAAAGAGAAATGCTACTAAATGTGTGGTACTAAACAGGAATCCGCCACTGAAGGAAAGCATGGAGATGAGGAATCAAAAGGTAGCATGCAGCCTTCAACTACCTCTGATTAAAATAGATGTATATCCAGAGAAACTCTTTGGAAAGCATGAGCTATACCTTTCTTACAACAGCTAGACATTGTGGCATGTGGGCTGAACTAGAAAACAGTGTCTTCCCACAGCCATGCTGCAGTGCTTCACTTGGGAAAAGGGAACAAGAAGCAGCATATCCCACACTCCCTGTTATGGAAATGTTGACAGTTATTCCATGGCCAAGGCAAACACCTGTGTGCCCAGACTGTTCAACCTGTCTGCACATCTGGCCTTATCTCTTTGTTTTTTCACAAACCTAGTTAATTATTTCTTGTTCACTTTTAAGGCAAATAGTTTTGTTCTGAGTTTGCATCTGAAATTGTAGCATACTTGAAAACTCTAGAGATAAAAACCCCAAATCTTCAAAGGAAGAAATAAAGGGCATTTTCCTGTCCCCAAACTCCTGGGAGAGGCTGTAACTTTGAAGTGTGGTATCAAAGGTAGAGATAATGTGGGATTCACCTCAGTAAATGTGGGTGCCTGCCATGGAACTAATTAATGGAGAACTAAATAGAACTAATGGTGTCTAAGGAGACCCTAACCACTGCCCTTGACTAGACTTCATTGACCATGCTGACTGCCTCACCAGTGGATGTGAAGGGAGCCTACAGGTACTAGCTGCGAGGTAGATACCTCCAGTCTAGACACACCCTCAGTTAGGTGAATTCCAACCAACATGCCAGCCTCTCATCTCCCTTACACCAACCCCTGAGGTGTAACCGCTTTAATGACACTTACATCATAGCCACTTTGCAGGTATGAATGCATCATCATCTCCAGGAAGAAACAGTCACTTTTGTAGAGCTTGTCAAAACATTTTGCCACAAACAGTGGTTCAGCTAAAGTTGGCGGTAAGCATTTTGATGACTACAACAAAATCTTCATTAGCATACAACATTTCTATCCTTTTATTTTTGATATAAAACATACTGCCCCCCTTTTTCTTTGTATCTCCTTTTATAGTTTCCCTTTTCCTTGTATGCCAAATGGAAGATGATGGATGAAGATAAAAGGGAGAAATGAAAATTCATGTGGCAAACATCTAATGAAGTAAAAAAGTTTGGGATTCTTTAAACATTTATAATAGAAATTGCATTTAAGCACCAACTCTGTTAATACTATTTGAAATTGTTGCAGAACTGCACTGTCCGTTGTACACATCTGGGAACAAATTCATTCCTTTTCTTCCGCTGGGTGAAAAGGAGGTAGAAATGCTATTTCAATCAAACAAGAAGGAATAAAAAATGGTACCCATGTGGAAATTTAAAGCTAAGTCTGAGACCATGCTATATTTAGCTTTTCCAAGGTATGGTTCTTCGTTTAATAATCTGATTTGCTATAGGAAAGACGTGTTATGGCATTTAGGAATACTCCTAAGCATGTAAGTAGTGTCTTTCTCTGTTGCCTTGACCTCCTCAGCATGTCAGGGTAGAAAACAAAGTGGGAAGCATTTACCGGTGATCTTCCCAAAGAGAGAGGGAAGAAAAATGAATGCAGAAATAGCAACAATAATTCAGGAAGGGAAAGTGCCCCAAGAAAGTGCTTCCTCTTCAGTGTCTTGGCCAACCCCTCAGCACAGCCTCAGAGGGCTTTCTGCTGATCATGGGAAAGACTAGGGGAAGGAAACCAGACTGAACAGACATCAGTCCTCAGTCTGTGCCATATACTGACATGCATGGTTCATTTTCTCAGAGTAGATGGATTAGCATAAGAAATAATGAGTGGAATAAGGCTCTCCAAAAGGTTTGTTTTTGCAGTCTCTGACTGGGAAATACTGAATTTCTCAAGTAGGAAGGGCTGTTTTATAAGCAGAAGAATATACTACTGTTAAACTGAGCAACAAACATTACAACTGTGTCTACCTTACACCAGAGAGAAGAGATTAAAATGCTAAAGTCTAAAAACTGCTGGCCCAGAAACAGACCGTGTGATAGCTGTGTTGTGGCCACCGACTCTGGTGCCTGTAAAAATGGCCTTTCAGACAAGTTCTGAGTGCACAACACAACCGTGTGGCCACATATATGGATCCTCACAAACACTTTTTAATCAATTAAAAGACATGAGGCAGTGGAACAGTTGCTATTTTCCTGGTTTGCCTCTAAATAAGGGGCAAGGGGCCATGGACAAGCTCCCTCAGTCATGATATTCAGAAACACTTCACACAAATTATAAAGTCATTGCTTCCGAAAACCATGCTCAGGGTGATGCAAATTTTCCTGTGTCTGAGAAGGGGCTATTACTACTTAGGTGCTTCTGATGGGATATTACAAGTCTCAATCAGTGACTGTAAATTCCTTGAGATCTTCAAATGGAAGATAAAATAGGTCTTTGTCTATTATTTATTTACTTATTGACTTATTATTTATGTATCCCTAAGCAGCTCCATGCTGCCAAACCATATTTCTCTTGGCGTCTTTCAGCCTGTGACATTTATATTCTATTATTGACCTCACTAAATGACATAAAATATAAGTCCTACAACCTCTGAAAATACGTGGATTCCACATCAGAACTTCATTTCTACCTGCTTTAGGTATGGGGGAGTTGGACTATTTGACATTATTAAATCTGTTATTTGTGTGTGAGGGGTTGAAGGCAGGAATTATCCTTCCATCTCAAGGCAAGCATAAATATTTCAAAGCCCACATGATACTAATTCCATTGAAGCTCCTCTGAAACATCCCAGACTTTTTATTGAAAATGAGATGATAATGTATGGTGGCCTGCAACAGATATACCAGTATTTTAAAACTACTGCTATTGGGCCAAGTAATTATGCAGTACAGATGTTGGTGCTACACTGGATTCTTTAGTGGTTTACGAGTACGTGGGGCTGTGCAGCACAGAAGTAAAAAGATTTTTCACAACGCTGAATTCAAATGTCTCATCATGCTAGCCTGTCTTGTCTTTTCCCTTCTTGATTTGTAGTAGCCAATAACAAACTAAGTAACCAATAAAATGGGTTGCAGTCATCTATTAGGTTAGCACTTCACGTGTCTGCGGCAAATGAAGACGAGCCAGTATTGTGAATTCCATTCAACAGGATGATCAGATAATAATCAGTTAATTTGAAACAGGTTATCGTCTTCTTCAGATATTTAGTACCCTTCTGAGGCCCTTCTGCTTGAACAAAGGAGCGGTCCTAATAAAG